CTACAGCCACGTCTGGGGTGGGCAGAGCCATCCCTGGTAGCTGGGGGGGGGCTCCCCTTGTCCTGCTAATCATGAGCGCGCACACATGGCGATGCACGCACACAGCGACACACTCAATGACAAATGCAAACACACACAAATACACAACCACTCAGTGACACACATGCACATGCAGACACACCGGCACATTCACCCATATACACATGGTGACACGCATGCATGTATGCACACAAACAGTGACAGTCTCATTCGCAGTGACATGCACACATGCACACGCATACACTGACACACTCATCCACAGTGACACATGCACACACACATGCATAGTGACACTTGCACACAGCATGACATATACATGCACACACCCACAAGCACAGTGACACATTCACCCATATGCCCGGTGACACGTGCATGCATACTCAGCGCACTCACACATACATACAGTGACACATTCACCCAAATGCCCTGCCACCTGCACACACACACATACAAATACACCCACATGCACAGTGACATGCACACACTGCATGCATGCACACAGTGACACATTCAGCCACATAGTAACATATGGACACGCACACAAACACATATGCACACAGTGACACATGCATGCGCACACACATGCACAGTGACACATTCACCCAAATACCATGACGTGCGCATACACATACAAACGCACTTGCATGCATGGTGACTCACATTTTCACATGTACAGTGACACGTGCACATGTACACTCACAGTCCTAGTATGACCTGCCCACTCTCAGCCTGGCACTACCCCTCTGCCAGGCTTGCAGCCCAGGCAGGCCCCACGTATGGCTACAAGCATGTGCATGGGCTCGCAGGTGTGCATGCAAGTTTATCACTACATGTGCCTGCTCACATGTGTGTCACCATGTGCACAAGTGTGTTCCTGTGTACCTGGGCATTTGTGTGCCCAGGCATGTCACTACGTGTGTATACATGCATGTGTCACTGTGTGTGCCTGCACTTGCATGCGTATGTCATGGTGCAAGTGTCACAGTGTACATGTGTTGGTCTGTATGTGTCCACATGTCACTGCATGCATGTGTATGAATGTGTGTGCGCTTGTGTGTGTGTCACCATGCAAGTGTGTTGCTGTGTGTGTGTCATGACGAGTGCATCACGGTGTACACGCGTGCATGCACGTGCAGGTGCGACTCAGCAGGACACCCCCTCCCAACCCCTGGCTCCCTCCAACTCACCCCTCCCTCCTTCTCCCGCCCCAGGCCCCTCACCTCCCACCGTGCCCCCCCAAGGGGGGTCCCGATGCCCGGCGCCTGCCATGGCCTGCCTGCACGAGACGAGGACGCCATCGCCCTTGCTGGGGGCGGGGCTGGGCGCGGCAGCGGCCGGCACACCGGAGGAGCAGGAGCTGACGCCCACACAGTGTGTATTGCGCGACGTGGTGCCCGTGCAGGGCGGCGGGCACAGCCCCACCCCCAGCGACGATGCCCGCCAGCCCTTCGCCAACAGCGTCCTGGCCCTGCACGAAGCTGACGGCGGTGCCGGGGTCGGCAGCCCTGATGGGCGCCAGGGCCGGGCCCAGGCTGACCAGATGCGGCTGCACTGCCAGGCTGGCGGCGGGTTCCTCGAGGGACTCTTCGGCTGCCTCAAGCCCGTCTGGACCATGATCGGCAAGGCCTACGCCACCGAGCACAAGCAGCCCCAGGAGGGTGAGCAAGGAGGGCAGGAGGGGGAGGATAGGGGGCAGGAGTGGGCACGGGAGCTCAGTGCCCACTGCTGCCCCCGCAGACCCGTGGGAGGTGCCCTTCGAGGAGATCCTGGACCTGCAGTGGGTGGGCTCCGGGGCACAGGGCGCCGTTTTCCTGGGCCGCTTCCACGGCGAGGAGGTGGCCGTCAAGAAGGTGCGAGACCTCAAGGAGACTGACATCAAGCACCTGCGCAAGCTCAAGCACCCCAACATCATCACCTTCAAGTGAGCTTGGGGGGCAGAGCCATGGGGAGTGGGCAGAGCCATTGGGTACCTATTGGGGCAGAGTTATCTGGCGTGGGCGGAGCCAGATCAAGGGATAGCACGGGGAGGGCATGTGCATGCGCGTGCATGTGCCCGCCTGGCAGAGCACTGTGCGTGGCACCCCCATGGGTTTGCACCCAGGGGTGGGGCCATCCTGGGGGCAAGACCTGGCTGCTGAGCTCTGACCCGCGCCCCCGGTCTGGTCGCAGGGGTGTGTGCACACAGGCGCCCTGCTACTGCATCATCATGGAGTTCTGCGCCCAGGGGCAGCTGTACGAGGTGCTGCGGGCCGGGCGCAAGGTCACGCCCTCGCTGCTGGTTGACTGGTCCATGGGCATTGCCGGTGGCATGAACTACCTGCACCTGCACAAGATCATCCACCGCGACCTCAAGTCCCCAAAGTGAGCACTGCCAGGGGGCGGCACAAGCAGGGGCGGGCGTGCAATAGCAGGCCTGGGGGCACTGGGCAGGCTGAGCTGGGGGTGTTGCCCCACTATGCCAGCTGACCCTGGCCCCCTCCAGCATGCTGATCACCTACGACGACGTGGTGAAGATCTCGGACTTCGGCACCTCCAAGGAGCTGAGCGACAAGAGCACCAAGATGTCCTTCGCCGGCACCGTGGCCTGGATGGCGCCCGAGGTCATCCGCAATGAGCCCGTCTCCGAGAAGGTTGACATCTGGTGAGCGCCCGGGGTGGAGGGGGAGGTCTGGCTGGGGGCGGCTCAAGCTAGGGGGAGGGGGAGCTAGGAGAGAGGGGTCCGCCTGCGCGGTTTGGCTGGGGAGAGGACTCGAGTTGGGGAGCCCAGGCCGGGGGTCCGGCTGGGAGTGGTCTGACCCTGCACGGCCTCCCCCCCGCCCAGGTCCTTCGGGGTGGTGCTGTGGGAGCTGCTGACGGGCGAGATCCCCTACAAGGACGTGGACTCCTCGGCCATCATCTGGGGCGTGGGCAGCAACAGCCTCCACCTGCCTGTGCCCACCGGCTGCCCCGACGGCTTCAAGATCCTTCTCCGCCAGTGCTGGTGAGCCCCCCAGGGCTGCGGAGAGCCCCCCATGCCCTCCCTACCCCATCTGCAGGGTCTTGCCCTACATGTCTAGGTGGTAGCCTCCAGCAAGGGCCTTGGGGCACCTCCTGCGGGGGGGTGACTTGCCCTGGAGCCAGCACCCATCCCTGCCCCCCCCCCGCCGTGTCCCACCAGGAACAGCAAGCCCCGGAACCGGCCGTCCTTCCGGCAGATCCTGCTGCACCTGGACATTGCCTCCGCAGATGTCCTCTCCACCCCACAGGAGACCTACTTTAAGTCCCAGGTGGGTCCTGGCCCCCTCCCACCTCACTACAGAGCCTGTGAGCTGGTGGCACGTTGGGGGAGCTCTTTGGCACCCCAGGGTGGCACTCAGGTGGCACCCTGTGGGAACCCTTGGGTGGGGTGGGGTCTGTGGGGGATGACAGTGTGTGTGTGTGTGTGTGTGTGTGTGTGTGTGTGTGTGTGTGTGTGTGCGCGCGCGTGCGTGTGCGTGGTCCCCCCCCAGGCTGAGTGGCGGGAGGAGGTGAAGCTACACTTTGAGAAGATCAAGTCGGAGGGGACGTGTCTGCACCGGCTGGAGGAGGAGCTCATCAACCGGCGCCGTGAGGAGCTCCGGTGCGTGCGGGGACAGCAGGCAGGGGGTGCTGGGGGGGCAGAGGGTTGGGCCCACACCTGACACCCTCCCCGCCACACCTGGCAGGCACGCGCTGGACATCAGGGAGCACTATGAGCGCAAGCTGGAGCGAGCCAACAACCTGTACATGGAGCTCAACGCCCTCATGCTGCAGCTCGAGCTCAAGGAGAAGGAGCTGCTCCGGTGAGAGCCCCCCAGGGCCCGAGATCCAGCCCCGTGCCCCTTTGCTGCCTCCAGTGGGGGCATACATATTGCCCCCAGGCTACCCTCACTGCTGCCACGATCTCCAGCCAGGGGCATGGGTGGGGGCTAGCTGCTCCATAGAAGGGACTTACCTTGGGTTATCACTTGCCCCCAGATCATACCCTGCCTCAGGCTACTGGCCAGGTCACAACACAGAGGGGCAGGATTGTACCCGAAAGGCTGGCGCTGTGTGTCCAGGGTGGTTTAATATCCCCACCGATGATTTGGACTCTGGGATGATGGGCTTGCGTAGTGGATTTGCACCCAACACCAAGCTGGGTGGAGCTGCTGATACTCCAGAGAGCAGGACTAGGGTCCAGGATGGGTTGGAGAGATGGTCCCTGGGCATGAGATGAGATGCCACAAGCTGCAGCTGGGGAAACTGAGGCAGGAGAGAAGGAGGTACTTTCTGACTGGGGTGCTCAGACATTGGAGCAGGCACCTGGGGGTGGGAGTGTGGGGGGAATCTCCCTCCCTGGAAGTCTCCAAGGGCAGGTCAGGCAGACACGTGGCTGCATGGTTTGGTCAGAGCTGGTCCTGCCTCGAGGTGGGGCTGGGCTAGAGGTCTTTCCAGCCTGATTTCCCTGGGATCCAGGTTGAAGTTGAACAAATAAGACCAGGAAGGTTTCTCCCCCTTCTCTTCCGGCCACGAGCTCATCCTCCAGGATTTCTCAGTGGAGGCAGGTGACAGAGCAAGGAGCAATGGGCTCAAGCTGCAGCAAGGGAAGTTGAGGTTGGATGGTAGGGAAACCTTTCTCCCGAAGAGGGTGGTGAAGCACTGGAACAGGTTACCCAGGGAGGTGGTAGGATCTGCATCCTTGGAGGTTTTGAAGACCAGACTATACAGAGCCTTGTCTGTGATGATAGAGGTGGGGCTGGTCCTGCTTGAAGCAGGGGGTTGGACTAGATGTGACCTCCCGAGGTCCCTTCCAACCCTCTTGTTCTAGGATTTCTAAGGATCAGACTGACCACTGGCTGCTTCGATCACCCCAAAACCACGACTTACTCACAGCTAGTTCCTAAATCCCCTCTGCCCCCAGCCACCCTTGTCGAAGTCTCCTCCAGAAATATTGCTCCCTCCAGAAGCACCTGGCTTGCCCCCCGGCTTGTGGCCCTTCTCCAGCATGGGCACCAGTTATGGATGGTTCCCATTCCAACCAGGCCATTCCCCAATATCTCGGGGGTCCTTTTGGCCTGGGCCAGGGTGTGCCTAGGAACAGATGTGTTTATCCCAGAACGGAAATATCCCAGGATTGGCATGTCCACACCAATTGGGTTTAATGAGCAACTGTTTTGCTGCCATGGATCCCAGGAGAATCATTCAGATGCACTTGGTGACATCCCGAGACAACTGCGAGTGTGTCTTATCCCACAAACCTTGCTAGGTTTATCCCAGGACGATGGACATGGATGCCTGGCTGCACGTTGTCCCGGGATAAAATGGGAGAAATGCGACATGGTTCTAGCCTGAGCTATCTTCTGTCTTTTCTGGGGGTCGGTGTTGGGTGCTGAAACAGCTCTTCCCTGGAGATCTGGCCCTGGCCTCTGACGGAGCTGGGTCCCCGGATTGTCACAGTGCTGACAGGTTGCCTAAGATAATCCGTGCAAGGATCAAAGGGATATGTCCGGTCTGGGCATCGGAGGCAGATGGGGCAGTGAATCACCCTGTTTAAGCAGGCACCGGGGCTGACCCTAGGATTTGGCAAAGAGGGGTGCACCCTGCTTCTAGCCACCCCCCTCCACACCAGAAGAAGGGAGGTTCTCACCTGCGTGGGGGACCTTTTGATCCAATATGAAAGGGGGGGTGCAATCCCACCCCTGCCTGACACGCATTTCTCTCCAGTTAGAAAGCAACGCCAAGCTTTACTAATCTGCATCATCCCGTTTAAGATCAAAGCAAAACCGATTATAACCTTACTGAACTGTTCCCTCATTTCTGGATCACAGCTTAAGTTTAACAAAACAAACCAAAACACAAGAAACTAGGAAAAAATGGGTCCAGTGCTGTTGTTTCATTAGCCCCATAGTCATTCTAGTTCATTGCACGTCTCTCATTCAGCGTCAGAAAACCAAACTGAGCCTCCTTGAGCGGCTGAAGATATGCCTCCAGTCCTTCCCTGTCAGCCATTTCTGCACCTGAGTTAATGTGATCACACCTGAGTTCAGGTTTTCTAGCTAAAAATAGTCTTCACGGCTGTGAAAGGGAAGAGAGGTGTTACCCAGCTTGGTGAAGAGACAGCAGTGCTGCTGCAGGAGAAAGGAGGGTTTGAAGCGGGGTGGGCGGGGGTGTCAAGGCCATCAAAAAAAGAGAAAGGGGTGTTAACGCCTTGGAGTCTGGAGAGATTAGCAGGAATCCCTCACCGCTGCCTGGACAGAAATGCTGCTGCCCCTGCCAGGCGGTTGGTTTTAAAGCTGGGGTAGGGCAGGAATTGAAGGGGGTGGGTTTAGCAAGTGGCGTCTCTGCACAAGCTGCTCTGAGCCCTCCAAGTTGCTCCTACTTTGGGGGGTGGGTCCAGGCCCCCAATGCCCTCCCCCCCAGCCTTGACGTGTTGCTCTGTGTCCGGCAGGCGGGAGCAGGCGCTGGAGAAGAAGTACCCAGGGCTGTTCAAGCCTCACTCACCACGCGGGCTGCTGCATGGCAACACCGTGGAGAAGCTCATCAAGAAGCGCAACGTGCCCCAGAAGCTGTCGCCCCACAGCAAGAGGTGAGGGTGGGGCGCAGGGACAGGACGCCTGGGCTCTTTCCCTAGCTCTGGAGGGCAGTGGGCAGTTTAGGAGCCAAGACACTTGGGTGCTGTCTTGTGGGCTGTGTGATTTTTTTCCCCCCTCCTTGGGGAGCTGGGGGGGCATGTGTCCCCCTAGGGCACAGAGGTCTCACCCCCACCCACCTTGCCACTGCCCAGGCCGGACATCCTGAAGACAGAGGTGCTGCTGCCCAAGCTGGATGCAGCCATGGCCCAGGTGTCACTGCCCAGCTGCGCCAAGGGCCCCACGTCGCCAGGCCGCAGCCGGCGCGCCAAGCCCCGCTACCGTAAGGCCAATGCCAAGGGCAGCTGTGGGGAGCTGGTCGGGCCCCCCCCGAGCACACCGGCCTGCCCGGAGCCCGGAGCCCCGAGCCGGGGGCACCTGGAGCCGTGCGCGGCGCTGCGGGGGCTGCAGCATGACCTGCTGCTGCGCAAGATGTCGTCGTCCAGCCCTGACCTCATCAGCACCACGCTGGAGGCTGAGGCCCG